TGGGGAGAGGTGGAAGGTGGACGTGAGGGAGGGGGATGGAGAGGGTGAGTGGGGGTGGGTTAGTGCGGGAGGGTACAGAGAGAGATTGTGTGTGTGTGCGTGTGTGTGTGTGTGCGCGCGTGCGTGTGTGTGTGTGTGTGTGTGTGTGTGTGTGTGTGTGTGTGTGTGTGTGTGTGTGTGTGTGTGTGTGTGTGTGTGTTTGTATGTGTGTGCGTGTGCGTGTGCGTGTGCGTGTGCGTGTGCGTGTGCGTGTGTGTGTGTGTGTGTGTGTGTGTGTGTGTGTTTGTATGTGTGTGTGTGTGTGTGTGTGTGTGTGTGTGTGTGTGTGTGTGTGTGTGTTGAGTGCGGGGGTGTTTGTGTATAGGGGGAGGGGTAGGGGGGTGTCTTGGGGTACTGTAAGGCGTGGGAACGTGAGGGGTGAGGGTGGGTGAGTGAGGGTGAGCGGTCACCAGTGTGTGCGTGCGTGCATGTGTGTGTGTTTACACTGGCTTGTTGTGGTGAGGAGGAGGGGGGGGGTAGGTCTAGTCAGTGGCGGTGTAATGTCACACACAGGTGTGAGAAGCTGGTACCAAGCTGAGGCTCTTGAGCTACTTTTTCGTATTTTAATTACTTATGTTCAAAGCTAATTACTATATAAAAAAAAAAAAAACACTGTACACCTTATATGACTGACTTTGAGAGGCACTCACCTCCGAGTAAGCATCCCACAGCACAATTAGGTGATTTATGAAGCGATGTCCGATATTGTTGTTGACGTCCCCGCCAGAGGTCCTCCCACGTCGTGGTCCAAAACTCTTCCCTTCGCGGCCTCTGGTGCCACCGTCTTGCCACAATCTCGTTCTTTCAATTTTTTTTCTTATCAAACGTTATAAGAATTCACTATGTTGCGTTATCACTGCGTTGCTGTACCTTTCATATGCCCAAAAACTATGTTTTGGGCTCACTGGTACGTAAATATCCCGAGAATATTGAGGTAATTCGCGGACTGCACGTCCTACCCTTGTTCACTGACCGCCGTCCTACTGCCTACTACTGCCTACTACTGCCTACTGCGTCCTACTGCCTACTGTGTGTAATGAGAGCTATGCTCATGGTGTCCAGCCTTCCCATACTACTAACAGTTTTGACTTCCACCACCTTCACTTAACTTGCTCCAACCATCTACCACTCTGTTTGCAATTTATAAAAATTTATTAGAAAGTCAAAATAACAAAAACAAAGATAAAAATAAAGATATAGTATGCAGTTAAGAAGTCACAATAATATAACATCAAACCCATAAATCTGCAAATAAAGGTAGAATGGTGTTTCAGTACACCCTGGTTCTTTGTCAAGTCATGTAAAGAAAGAGTGGTTGAGAAAACCAATTTTTAAAGAATGCAAGACGAAAGACAAGAAGGTTGAAGTATACTATAGGAGTTAATAGGAATAAAGAAAAAAGCACGAGTTCTGCAGTTTTAATTTTCTTACCTTATAAACTGACTTTATCTACTACTCTTTGTTTACATGACTTGATTATGGTACAAGATGTTCTAAAATATTGTCACTTCCTTTTTTTTTTTTTTTTTTTTTTTTTTTTTTTTTTTTTTTTTTTCTTGAGATATATACAAGAGTTGTTACATTCTTGTACAGCCACTAGTACGCGTAGCGTTTCGGGCAAGTCCTTAATCCTAAGTCCTTTATTTTCAGATGTGTTGGTTGGGTGTCCAAAGATACAGTACTGTATAAACATTTGGTATTTTGTACTGTATTTACATACCTGGTGTAGGTTATTGCCTCGAGGTCTCACCACTTTCACAATTGACTGATGTCCTTCTGGAAGGCTGAAATCTTCACACAGTTCACGTTCTACATGCTTCTTTTTTGTAGTAGCAGACATTCTTTAGTTATGAGCACTGTTTTATACAAAAATATTAGTATTCTTGATGATTAATATGCTACTAAACATCTTTATGTGCAGAAAGCATGTCAAGTTTGGCTAATCAAGAGATATGTTTAAAAGTAATTTTTTACAATTAGCATATAGACAACCAAGTAAGCTGCCTAATCTTAATGTGACTGCCAAATTATAATACTGGTACATACAGTTAAATACTCAAAACTTCTGCTGTACATAGAAAATAATTTAAGGCTGGGTCCATATACTAGTATAACATATTTCATTAATGTGCAAGATAAACCAAATTGGAAGCTTTTAGTACAAATTACACAACTATATATATACAACATTCCATGATTTTTCAGTATATTACCAGCAACTATAGCAAATACAGTAAGCATAGTATAATGTAGTTACATCAGATGTTATTGGAATGGATTTTTTCTTCCTTTAAACAAATTCTGGTCAAGCCTAACGTGAAGGAAATATTTTAAATGAAGTCATATTTCCAAGGGACTATTCAGTTTGGAGATGTGACAGGACAACTAGGAAAGGGGAAGGGGGGAGGAGTGGCTGTGCTGGTGAAAGAACAACTGAAGGTAAGAGAGATAATACTTAAAAATCCTCAAGAAGTTGACATACTGTATATACAGTGGAACCTCTATTAATGAGTTTAATCCGTTCTGGCACCGAGCTCGTTACCTGGAAAACTCGTCTTTAGAAACAAATTTCCCCATTTAAAATAAAGGAAATAAATTTAATCCGTTCCACTCCCAAAAACATCCATACTAGTATGACTTTTTTTTATGTAAATATAATATTGCACATGTAAATATAAATGTTTTGTTGTAGTGTTTTAATATTTACTTTACCTTATGAAGAGTAGTTGCTGGCTTGAGGGAGACGATGGAGAGGTGGGAAGGAGGAGAGGGGTTATGGTGTGGAAGGGGAATCCACCTCTGAGTCAGGCGGACTCTCTCTTCTTGGGAATTTCACCCAAATTTCATTTCAAATGTCACACAAGGATGCGTTAGACCAGCACCAAATAAAAAACTACGTTGATTACACTCGTTGTGTCAACAATATAATAGTCTTACCACGAAGATACAATACAATGCCGTTTTCTCAAATAGGCAATGTGGTTATTAAAGAAAACGGAAATTTCATGGCAAACATGTATACAATTCCCAAGTCGATCGGATAAGAATTGGATTTTATAGAAATATTTGCTCAAATGACGCTTGAGCGCGGTGTTTGGGTGCATTCAAGAGAAAAAAAGTGTGTCACGTTCAAGTGACATATACCTGCGAAAGTGATAACACTTTCATAAAGTGTTATCACAAAGTGATAAATTAATTAAACATTTTCACACACCTGGTTGTCACTGCTTTATCAGGGCAGCTTTTCCACGAATGAGTTCACCTTTTCAAACATTCCAAACACTTCCCTGATTTCAGTGGAAGAGGCAGCATCCTCCCTTACCTCCTCATTCCCTTACTAATGGTGTAAATTGTTGATGAGGACCTGCCATACTCCCTTGTGAGATCAATCACACAGACACCACACTCATGCTTTGCTATAATTTCCTTCTTTAAATCCACAGTAATTGTGTCTTTCTTCCTCTTGACAACACTATTTTTAACAAGCAGCTTCTTTGGAGACATCGTGTGTTACAAATTGTAGTCGCAAAACCACTAAAAACTCAAAGAAAAGCTCAAATAAATCCAGAGGGATGCTTGTCGTGTGAGATACAACAACAACACTGGCGTCGGAGGCGTCCGAGAATTTGCGAGAACCCGCGAGACACTAGGAAGCGCCATGTGGTTTCACTCGTTAATAGAGGCGAGCTCGTCAATAGAGACAAATTTGCTGAGAGTGGCTTGCTCGTTACTGGAAAAACTCGTTAATAGAGCCACTCGTTAATAGAGGTTCCACTGTATATATATACAGTGGTACCTCGGAATGCGAGTGTCCCTGTATGCGAGTTTTTCGGAAGACGAGCAGGATTTCCTCGAAAAATATGTCTCGGAAGGTTCCTGACCCGCATTGCGGGTCAGGAATCAGGATGATAGACTGATAATTGTAAATGCCTACAGCCCACCAGCAAGCAACACATGGACAAAGGAAGAACTGGATGACAAACGAGAGGGCCTCCTAATGGTCATGAGAGAAATTACAGAACAAGCAGCTAAAGATAAATCACGACTGTTGATACTGGGGGGACTTCAACTTTAAAGCAATAGACTGGGAGGCTTATGAAGCAAGAATGGAGGACTTTTGGACATGCAGATTTGTAAACCTCATTCTGGAGACATTCTTGTATCAACACATCAAGCAGGACACAAGAATGAAGGAAAGGGATGTACCATCAATACTCGATCTACTATTCACTAGGAAAGAAGAGGAGATATTTGACATCCAGTACCTTCCTCCCTTGGGAAAAGAGTGATCATGTTTTGTTAGACATTAAATATGCTTTAAGATATCATCTAATCATCTAGAAGAAAATGGGGACATTTTGAAACAGTTGATAAACACGATTTCAAGAGAGAACACTATGGGGAACTTTGACATTTTTTTAATGAGTAATTGAACTCAATGAGTAATGTTAATGAGTTTAATGAGTTCAATGAGTTTAATGAGTAATTGTTGCTACTTAGGGAAGCAAATGAGATGTATGCCAAATTTTGTAAAATATGCAATAAAAGCACACAAACATTCATACCTAAACAGATATGTAGGGCCAGAAAACAGGATTGGTTCAACAGAAATTGCGAGAGAGCCAGAGACCAAAAGACACAAAAATGGAATCAATATAGGAAGAGGCCAAACCCTCAAACATACCAGCGATACAAAGATACTAGAAACAACTACATAGCAGTAAGGAGAGAGGCAGAAAATTTTTGGAAAAGGGATAGCGGACAAATGTAAAACAGAACAAGGCCTACTCTACAAATTCATAAGCAACAAATTGCAGGTAAAGGATAATATTCAGAGGTTGAAAATGGGAAACAGATTCACAGAAAATTAAAAGGAAAAGTGTGAAAAATTAAATGAAAAGTTCCAAAGTGTGTTTGTACAAAATTAAATCTTCAGAGAACCAGACACAATAAGAATTCCAGAGAACAACATAGAGTACATAGAGGTGTCTAGAGACAAAGTGGAAAATATGCACAAGGAGTTAAGAAAAAAGCAGTTGGCCCAGATGGAGTTTCACCATGAGCTCTGAGATAATGTGCATCTGAGCTCAGCATTCCACTTCACTTGATTTTTCAGGCATCCCTGTGTACAGGAGTCGTAGCAGATGTGTAGAAAAAGGCTAACATAGTTCCAATAGTCTACAAAAGTGGCACAGGGAAGACCCCCTCAACCTGTATCGTTGAGAAGTGTAATAGTCAATATATTGGAAAAACCAGCATTGAATGTAATAAAACACCATTTTCTGGGTGTATTGGAAAAAACCAGCGTTGAATGTAATGAAATGCCATTTTCTGGGTGAGACCCGTAGGCTTCCCAGAGCTTACTAGGCTGGTATGTTAATGTCAGACTTTGGCATCAGTCATGTGTATGGAGTCCTGTGGGCTTACCGGGGACCACGAGCCACAACCTGGCCCCCCTCAGAGAGCCATGGGGGAGCAATGGCCTATAGAAACCCCCATGTGATGAAAGCATTCTGTCTGCCATCAACCGGGTCAGGCACCCAGAAAGGTAAGCATCCAAAAACAAATCCCTATTCTGGTGAAATTATTGCTACCAAAAGCCGAACAAGTGGATAGAACTCCCATTAAAGAAACGAGAAATAATAAAATAAGCAGGTGTTTACTATAGGAGTTAGTTGTGTTGTCCAGGTGGTGAGGGGCAGCCATATGCCCGGGCCCTCATGGGGGGCCCTCATGGGAGGCCCTCATGGGGGTGTCATTGGGGCCCCTCATGAGGGCCCGCATGGGGGTGTCATTGGGGCCCCTCATGAGGGCCCGCATGGGGGTGTCATTGGGGCCCCTCATGAGGGCCCGCATGGGGGGCCCTCACGGGGGCATCATGGGGGGCCCTCATGGGGGCCCTCATAACCCCATGCCGCCAACAAGAGTCAGCTCACCACCCAGGCCCTACACAAGTCTCCACCAACGGTACATAAGAGTACGGTAGTCCCTACTACACCAATACCCAGCTCCTCCACAATGTGCCCTCATTCTTGTTTAATATTATTACACAATCAATGTTCAACTTTAATATATATTGTTATATATGTATGTACCACCTGTGTATCAACTTGGTAAGCCTTCAGTAGATTAGGGAGCGGCGACCACCACTATTGTTGTGTGAAGGTGTAATTACCTAAGTGTAATTATCTAAGTGTAATTACAGGATGAGAGCTACGCTCGTGGTGTCCCGTCTTCCCGGTACTCTTTGTCATATAACGCTTTGATAGCCAGTGTGCCTGGTCCACTGGTGCCTGGTCTACTGGTCCACTGGTGCCTGGTCCACTGGTCCACTGGTCTACTGGTGCTTGGTCCACTACTACACTGTACGACACCCTCACACTTCGTACACCTTCGCACACTAATATTTGTACCATTTCGCACTCCAGCTTGGGACGTTTCGTACATGTGTACGTGTTTACTACTTCAATATAAGGCTTTAGGCTTGTCTTCCTCTCTCCATGTTTCTCTCTTCATGTAGGATTTTCACCTCTAATCCTATTATTCCCGTACTTTATTTAGGTACAGCTCTTACTCTTCCTTCTTCTACTCTAATGTTTTATTCTTACGTCAATTTGTGGTGACAAACACAGGTAGAAATATAAATATAAATAAATAAATAAATAAATAAATAAATAAATAAATAAATAAATAAATAAATAAATAAATAAATAAATAAATAAATAAATAAATAAATAAAATTATACATATATATATTAGTATATTTTGGTAGTAGTCTTTCTTGTAAACATGTGTTGTTAAATATGACCGAAAAGTAAGATTAATAATTCTAATACGAATTTTCTCAATATTTCTTATGTTTCTTTTTACTGTCGATGGTAATTGAAAAATCAATTCTCCAAAATTCATTTTTATATCTAGTCTGACGCGACACTTGAACGCGTTTCGTAATAACTTATTACATTTTCAAAGACTTTAGTTTACACACACACAACTTGTAACCTGAAAACACTAAACAGAGTTTTACTAATGCAAACACTGAACATCTTGTCTTATATACTCGCATTTGGGTGAGGTGATATGTTGCAACAGTTTTGGATGAAGTGAACAAACTTTTGACCAACACAACACAGAACACGGAACATTGGGTATAAATTAGATAAATGAGAGGGAAGAATGGAAGTAACTGCAAAGGGCTTATTGGCCCATACTTCCTCTAGATGCTTCTATATTGGTACGGAGTCTTGAAGTGGGTAGAATATAGTTGTGCATTAATTGGCTGTTGATTGCTGGTGTTGACTTTTTGATGTGTACTACACATCAAAAAGTCATTTGGTTTTTGGATTATGGTACTCAAGCTGGCTCACCAGACTCACTCTTGGATGACATGAGAATAATTCAGGAGCAAGTCTAGGCCTCACCCTGAACTCTTCCAAGTGCAAAATACCCAAGGACAAGGTCCTTGGTAAGAAGATAACTGACCTGTAGAGGATGAACGAGAGGATTGAAGACATCGATGCTCATGATGCACTTTACCTCATCACCAGGTGCTTGTCCCTCCCCAGGATGACCTACTTTCTTAGATGTTCGCCATCTTTCAGTAATATTAAATTAGAAGAGTACGACAGCTTGCTGAAATCAATGCTAGAAAAATCCCTCAACCTTTCTTCTTGGGACCTTTTGCAATTTGTTCAACCGACAGTTTTTTGGTATATTTTTTGTGTACCTTCATCATATATATTTAAAAAAAAAAATTGTCATACATCTTATTTACTTCCTTGCCTAGTGGGTTTTCCAATCAAATTTATTTATTAAAGCTCCCCATAGTGTCCTCTCTGAAAATAAAATTCTTCAGCTGCTTCATTTTCCTCACTCTTCTAGATTATAATACATTGCATATTTAATTTTCAAAAGGATATATTCGCTCTTATCCAAGGGAGGAAGGTACTGAATGTCAAATCTCTCTTATTCTTTCCTGGTAAATATTAAACCCAACATCGGTGGAACATCTCCATACCTCATTCTCGTGGCTTGCTTAATGTAATTACCTAAGTGTAATTACCTTAGTTACAGGATGAGAGCTACGCTCGTGGTGTCCCGTCTTCCCAGCACTCTTTGCCATATAATGCTTTGACTTACTGATGGTCTTGGCCTCCACCACCTTCTCACCTAACTTGTTCAAACCGTCTACCATTCTGTTTACAAAAGTGAATTTTCTTATATTTCTCCGGCAGCTGTTTCGTTAGTTTAAATCTATGACCTCTTGTTCTTGAAGTTCCGGGGTCTCAGGAATTCTTCCCTATCAATTTTATCAATTCCTGTTACTATTTTGTATGTGGTGATCATATCCCCTCTTTTTCTTAAATTTTCTAGTTTTTGCATATTTAATGCCTCTAACCTCTCCTCGTAGCTCTTGTCCTTCAGTTCTGGGAGCCACTTAGTGGCATGTCTTTGCACCTTTTCCAGTTGATGTACTTCTTAAGATATGGGCACCATACAACCGCTGCATATTCCAGCTTTGGTCTAATAAAAGTCGTGAACAATTTCTTTAGTATTTTGCCATCCATGTACTTAAAAGCAATAAAAAAATGTGTTGATATATGAATGTCTCCAGGATGAGGTTTACGAATCTGTCAGTCCAAAAGTTTTCCATTCTTGCTTTGTAGGCTTCCCAGTCTGTTGATTTCAAGTTAAAGTCATCAAGTACCAACAATCATGATTTATCTTTATCTCATCTTCCTATAATCTCTCATGATTGTTGAGGCACTCTTGTTTGTCATCCAGCTCCTCCTTTGTCCATGTGTTGCTTGCTGATGGACTGTAGGCATTTATGATTACATTACCAGTTTATCATCTTGATAACTAATTTCCAGTGCCATTATGTAAGCTTCTCATAAGTTGTCAATCATTAATTCGTTTACCTTTAGGTGTTTTTTTCACCAGCACAACAATGCCTTCACCTTTCCTTGTTTTTTTTTTAATTTTTGTCATGTCTCCAAATTGAGTAGCCCCTTAGGAAATATAATCTCATTTAATATACCATCTTTGAGTTTCATCTCCGTTAGTGCAACAATATCAGCCATTTTAAGCTGTACAGTATTATATTGTTTAGCTCCAGTTTTTTTTATCTCACTCCATCTACGTTAAGTTCTGGTGTGGTAAGTTTCAAAATCACCCTGGAAAAAATCAAGGCAAATGGGGGGGACCTTCGACAAGCCGCTGGCTTCCTGTCCTCGTCAAAGCCACTAGGGTTAGTGGTACTCAGGTAAATCATATATCATGGGGAGGGTCAGTAGTACAATATTGATGGTGGGAGGGGGAAAGGGTGGGAAGTTTAATCAAAGATCTCCCAAGAACATTTGAACATGGCGCGCTCTGGTATAGAGCCTCGTAGTTTAGAAGGCTGCCACCAGGATTATATTTACAGGCGCCATATTGATTTTTATAATGTTTGGATAGGTGTGGTTTGGGATGGAGGTTGTTCAGAGAAAATTAAGAAAATGGAATGACTTTTAAAGTCAAAGCACCCTATCCAACCTTTCCATATGGTAAGTTGACTATAGCAAGCTCCGAACGCTGGGTTAGTTCATATAAGACTGCTAAATGGAGTGCAAACAAGAGAAAATAATGAGAATCTAGTTTGTAATTATTAAATAGGAAAACTACCAAAAAGATTATTTATACTGTGTGTGTATATATATAATATATATATAATATATATTAATATATATATATATAATATATATTAATATATATATATATAATATATATTAATATATATATAATATAAATATATATATAGTATATATGCACACATAAGAAGGTAAATTGGGTTTATGAGAGTACATATTGATGTTTTTACATTCAAATGTTTATTCAGGTAAAAATAGGTACATAGAAGATGAGTTACAAACAATGTTGGACTTAGGTTAGAGATAGAGCTAATACATACAATACCTTAAGCCACTAATACACATAGCATTTCTGGCAGGTCCTTAGTCTAACAGATAATTTTAAGTAGGTAATTTGAAGCAAAATTTGAAGAATGTTAACAGGTACATTGTAAGAAAATTAGAAGAAAATGGTTAGGTTCATTATAGTAAAATTTGAGGATATCAGCAAGTACATTGTAGTACAATTTGAGGATTATTTCTTGGTGCACATTGTAGTAGAATTTACATTCAACATCATAACCATGATATAAGATGTCAGGGATTACAATGGTGAAGTTGCACGGCTTAGGCACATATTTTGTGGGATTTGGTTACACAAGATACAGTGGGAGATTAAAGTACTAGGTAGAAAACTGAGGATGAAATGAAGTAATTTTTTTTGTTACTTTTGAATAAGGCATAGATGGACAGCTTTTTAATTCGCTAGGGAGTGAGTTCCATAAACTAGGGCCCTTTATTTGCATAGTGTGTGTGCACAGATTTAGTTTGACTCTGGGGATATCAAAGAGAGATTTATTTCTGGTGTGTTGATTATGGGTTCTATTACATGTGTCAAGGAAGAGTTTCAGATCAGAATTTGCATTTAGGCACAAGGTTTTGTACATGTAAATGACACAAGAGAATGTGTGGAGTGAGTTTGTTTAGAATGTTTAGGGATTTAAACAGGAGGCTGAGTGTTGTCTGAAAGCAGAGTTTGTCATAGTTCTGATAGCAGAGTTTTGCTGAGTGATGATGGACTTGAGGTAGTTTGCAGTGGTTAAAGTAGTAGTAGAAATGGCTCCTATGACCGGCCGTTTTGCTTTTTCCCAAGGCCTGTTGTAGGAGCAGGGGCGAGGGGGGTTCATTTTTTCCCCAAGGCTGGTCATAGGAGCTGAGGGGTTTTAATTTTTTTTCCTAACATCCAGCCATAGCCCAGGGGGGGGGGGGGTGTTTCTAATTTTTTTTTCGTATAATTTCTCCAACTGCTTCCTTCCATCACATAATTTTGCAAAATGGGAATACAAAGGTTTGCTCCTAGGTTACCTTTAAAGAACACAATAAAGTAGCCGTCACAACTGCAAGAAAAATGACAGGTTGGATAACAAGAACTTTTCACACTAGAGATGCTATACCGATGATGATACTTTTCAAAACGCTTGTGCTCTCTAGAGTGGAGTACTGCTGCACAATGACAGCCCCTTTAAAAGCTGGAGAAATTGCTGACCTGGAGAGCGTGCAGAGATCCTTTACTGCTAGAATCCACTCAGTAAAACATCTAAACTATTGCGACCGACTAAAGAGCCTAAACCTGTATTTCAGCCTAAGTGGCATTTCATTACATTCAATGCGGTTTTTTTATTCCCTACTTTCTGTTGGATTAGTTTTGCACATTTGACCATGCCTACAGATCTTGGTCATTCCAGTATTTCCAAGTGCAAATTATAATGTGCATTTCTTGTTTGCACTCCAGGGAGAAAGTTTAAAAGTTAAATTCAGTCAGTTTAGTAAGCCTTATAATTGAATGCAAATATTGGAAAGGAGGATCTTTGAACATTTCATAGGTTAAATTTTATCCAGTTTTATAAAAAAAAAAAGAACAGCCTACTACCATTTGAGTATGAAAGAATTTAAGAAGTACAGAATACAGGGGTACCTCGGTTTAAGAGTAATCCGTTCCTGGAGACAGCTCGTAACCCTAAAACTCGTAAACCGAAGCTAATTTCCCCATAAGAAATAATGGGAAATGAATTAATCCGTTCCTGACTACCCAAAAACTTCACTTCAAACTAAATTTTATACCTAATTCATCCAAATCTACACTACAAAAGTATGTTCAAGTTATTACTTACCCTAACTGATGACTCCTGTTGGTGTTTGGAAAATGGTGAGGTGGGGGGGAGAGGAGGAGAGGTGTTACTGTTTGGAAGGGGAGTCCCCTTCCATTATAACATCAGGCTGTGAAGATTTCTCTGGAGTGCACTCTCTGGCATGGTTTGCATGCATACCAGTAGGTCCTGGTTGTGGCTAGCTGCTTGATTTTCTCACTTTTCTCACAAGGAAACGTTCCATTGAAGATTGTTTTTGCAACACTTGTCTGTAGTGAGGCATCACATTGTCATTAAAAAGATCAATGCAATGGCCTACTACAGCTTTATCTCGGTGATTCTTTTCAGCAAAACTTTGCAGTCCTTCCGATACTGCACACATTTTCTTAATTAATGAGGAAGGGACATTCTCTACTGCCTCCTCTTCCTTCCCTGAAGATTTGTTGAACTGACTAGCTAGTTCAACAACACGAGTACCATTTTCATGCTTCCGAATGTTCTTGTTTTTTCTCTATTGTCCTCACCACATGCGATTTCTTGCCTTGAACCTTACCCCTGGCTTTCTTGGGACCCATGGCGAGATACGTATATAATAACAACTTTTATGTTCAAATGGCCAAAAATCCGACAAAAAACTGTAAATCCTTGTGAAGAATTCAGGTAGGATAGTCACTGGGCACGAGGATTTTTTTAATCATTTTAGTGTATTCTTAAAACATTTAAGAATACATTATATAATCTGGTTATACTTAATCTGCTTAATTTCTTATTAACAGATGAATTGGAGTGACCCAGTCAATGGAGAGGAAGCCAGCATGACGTAAGACATTCATGAAGAAGCCACCAGACTGAGAGTGTGAGGAGGGCCCAGCCTCGGGAGTTTTGTAAGCACCCTACACCACAGTTTATGCAATGAAATAATAATTTTTTTTTATGTACAATTGGAGCTCGGGTAACACACCCTCTCACTGTGACTGCTTGTGCCGGACTAACTATATATACCCTGTAATTACCTAAGTGTAATTACCTAAGTGTGTAGTTACAGGATGAGAGCTATGCTCGTGGTGCCCCGTCTTCCCAGCACTCTGTCATATAACGCTTTGAAACTACAGTACTGACGGTTTTGGCCTCCACCACCTTTTCACTTGTTAAAACCGTCTACCACTCTGTTTTTGTTTCTCTGTTTAAAATCTTCCTTGTTGATTTTATCAATTCCTGTTACTATTTTGTACGTTGTGATCATATCAACTCTTTTTCTTCTGTCTTCTAGTTTTGGCATATTTAATGCCTCTATCCTTTCCTCATAGCTCTTGCCCTTCAGTTCTGGGAGCCACTAAGTAGCATGTTTTTGCACCTTTTCCAGTTTGTTGATGTACTTCTTAAGATATGGGCACCATACAACCGTTGCATATTCTAGCTTTGGCCTAACAAAAGTTGTGAACAATTTCTTTAGTATTTTGCCATCCTTGTATTTAAAAGCAATTCTGAAGTTAGAAAGCATAGCATAGGCTCCTCGCACAACGTTCTTTATGTGGTCCTCAGGAGATAGTTTTCCATCTAGAACCACCCCTAGATATCTTTCTTTATCAGAATTCTTTAAGGGTTTCTCACATCATTTATAGGTTGTGTGGGGTCTATGTTCACCTATTCCACTTTCCATAACATGGCATTTATTCACATTAAATTCCATTTGCCAAGTGGCGCTCCATATACTTCTTTTGTCCAGGTCTTCTTGAAGGGCATGACAATCATCAAAGTTTCTTATCCTTCCTATTATCTTAGCATCATCAGCAAACATGTTCATATAATTCTGTATTCCAATTGTAGATCATTTATGTAGACAATGAACATCACCGGTGCAAGAACTGAACCCTGTGGTACTCCACTTGTGACATTTCTCCAGTCCGATACATTGCCTCTGATTACTGCCCTTATTTTTCTATGTCAGAAAATTTTCATCCATGTTAGAAGCTTACCTGTCACTGTATTTACGTATGTAGGTTAGCTTAGCATTTTAAAAGCACCGAATCACTTTCTGTGGTTGAGTGTTCAATAAACCCTTGAACTCTATGTTTAACATTTCTCTAACCCTGTCCATGGAGGACAGAAGAAAATGTATATATGCTGGTTAGCATTGTAAATGTGTGGCCACGTCTGTGGTAGAAAATACTAAAAAAAAAAAAAAAAAAAAAAAAAAAAAAAAAAAAAAAAAAAAAAATTTCCAGTTTCCAGAACAACCTCTTATGTGGAACTCTGTCAAAAGCCTTTTTTAGGTCCAGATAGATGCAGTCAACCCAACCATCTCTTTCCTGTAAAATCTCTGTGGCTCTCTCATATAAACTGAGTAAATTCGATAACACAGGATCTTCCAGATCGAGAACCATACTGTCTGTCTGATATTATATTATTTCTCTCCAGGTGTTCTACCCATTTAGTTTTTATTATTTCTTCAAATATTTTGACTATTACACTTTGTCAATGATACAGGTCTATAATTGAGGGGGTCTTCCTTGCTCCCACTTTTGTATATTGGAACTATGTTAGCCTGTTTTCACACATCTGCTATGACTCCTGTACACAGGGATGTCTGAAAAATCAGCTGAAGTGGTGTGCTGAGCTCAACTGCACACTCTCAGAACCCATGGTGAAACTCCATCTGGGCCAACTGCTTTGTTCTTAGCTCCAAGAGCATTTGCTTCACTTCGTCTCTAGACACCTCTATGTTGTTCTCTGGAATTCTTATTGTGTCTGGTTCTCTGAAGATCTCATTTTGTACAAACACACTTTGGAACTTTTCGTTTAATGTTTCACATATTTCCTTTTCATTTTCCATGTATCTGTCCCCCATTTTCAACCTCTGATTATTATCCTTTACCTGCAGCTTGCTTTTAATGAATTTATAGAAAAGGCCTGCATCTGATTTACATTTGTCTGCTATACCGTTCTCAAAGTTCCTCTCTGCCTCTCTCCTTACTGACGTGTAGTTGCTTCTCGCATCTTTGTATCGCTGGTATGTTTGGGGGTTTGGCCTCTTCCTATAATGATTCCATGCCTATGTCTTTTGATCTCTGGCCCTCTCACAATTTCTGTTGAACCAATCCTGTTTCCTAGGTCTGCATCTCTGTTTTGGTATGAATGTTTGTGTGCCTTCATCGTATATTTTGCAAAATATGGCATACATCTCATTTACTTCCTTACCTAGCAACAAGTCTGTCCAATTATACCCATGAAAAAAATTTCTAAGTTCCCCATAGCGTCCTCTCTTGAAATTGAGTTTAACAACTGTTTCACTGTCCCCATTCTTTACTAGATTATATCGCAAAGCTATATAGTTTGTAAGTTTATTTATATATAGCTTTATATTTATATATATTTATATATAGTTACTGTTAATGTACAATTTGTCCATTTAAGTGGTGCAGGTGGTTGAGGGCGGGATATGAGCACTTGGACCGAGAGAATGCAACGAAGAGCTGCCACCCTAGGCAATGTGGTCACCTCCTGTGGCCATCCTAATGTCCCTTATCCTCGCAGGCTCGAGAAGTGAGTACAATTCTGTATTTTTGTATACTTGCACATTAATGATATAAAATTTCATGTTCTTTCTAAAAGGGCATTTATTTTATATTTATTGCAGGTGTTTCCCTTCTGCATTTTTTAGTTCAATTAAAGGAGGCAGACGAAGTTGCAGATCTAACCAATGGTGTCCTAACATGCAAGGTTAATATTTAGACCCAGGCTGAATAAACTTCTGCCCTTGAAACCATTGAGTGTGGCTTTGAACTAAACCACCACTGTATAACACCTGGGATACTTCAAACAGATTTATACAGTTTGGCTCAAGAATCCCAAGTTGCAGACCCTGAATTGTGGCAACTGTTAAATTAATTTTCACTACAGATATTATGACAGTAGATAAGAGATTATTAACACTCGCGCTCTGCGCGAGCGAGCCTCTCGCTATATAAGGTGGGTCCGGGCATTACCACGCTCTCCACGGGAGCACGCAGTAATTCTGAAAAGTGTATACTCTTTTCAACTTTGTCACCTCAATTCTCGTCCTAGGTTTTTCAATTTGGTATCAATGTGTTTGCAATATAATTCTCTACAGGATTAAATGCATATAAACTCCAAAAGCCCGGCTTACCACCTGAAGCAACCAGAGAAAGTGAGAGCGAGTTACCCGGGAGTGCGCAAGAGCAATAAAATGTGTACACTCTTTTCACTTTGGTCACCTCAATTCTCGTCCTAGGTCCTTCATTTTGGTATCAATGTGTTCGCAATAGAATTCCCAACAGGAGTACATGCATATAATGTAAAAAAACGCAGCGCGCCCAACCCGCCGACAAGATGAACATGAGCCAAGGTTACCAGAAAGAGAGCTGCGCCACCCCCAAGGCGCCTCTCATTACATTAGAGCGCGGTAATACTGAAAAGTGTATACTCTATTCAACTTTGTCACCTCAATTCTCGTCCTAGGTATTTCAATTTTGTATCGTGTTCGCAATAGAATTCTCTACAGGACTTGATGCATATAAAGCCCAAAAGCCCAGTAAGAAAGTGAGACTGTGTTACCCGGGAGTGCGTAAGAGTAATATAATGTGTACACTCTCTTCACTTTGGACATCTTAATTCTTGTCCTAAGTCTTTCATTTTTGTATCATTGTGTTCACAATAGAATTCCCTACAGGAATATATGCAAATATAAAGTCCAAAGGCCTGGCGTACCACCCACAACAAACAGAGAAAGTGACGGAGCGTTACCCCAGTGAGCGCTAATAAAGAGCAATAAAATGGGTATACTCTTTTCAACTTTACCTAAATTCTGGTACTAGGTTTTTCATTTTGGTATCAATGTATTTGCAATGAAATTCCCTACAGGAGTATATGCATATAATGTCCAAAACCGCGGCAAGACCTTCCCGAAGACACCGCTATTTTACCGAACCGTTGCCGGACCAACGTCGCAATGCTGGATTTCGCTCTATTAAATAGATGACTCAATGCTGAGTCGTTACTGAGCGGAAGTGTTAACCACTGCACTGCTCTGCATTCAAATATGACACGCCCGTGGTGTGCCGAAAATAAATTCTTTCAAAAAAATTATTTTCTCTTCTTATATTGCTAAAATGCAGTCTCTGATCACGGGAAACTAAAAACAAAATATTGTATGTGATGTACTTTAGCCACGATGGATGTGGGAAGTTGAGCATATTATGGGAGTGATTGAGCGCTCAAGGTCACTAAGCCCCGCCACCCCGTGGGGCGGCAGTTGCCGCAAATATAATGTTTTACAATTATTTTGATGTTTCTCATTTGTTTCTTCTCTGGTTTTATGCTGTAATATTATTCAAAAGTGTGTAATTTGTGGAATTTATATAGTTCAATGTGTGGAACATCACTATTTTAAAAATTATGGGGCTCATATGTGTGACATGTATATTATATTCTACGATCAATCAAACAATGTTTTTGCTGTTATTACACTATATACACACATTGTATATATCTATCTACATATATATTCACCATAGCAAACCATTAAGTTGGTATGGCGAGCCCAAAAAACAAGAGTGGGCTGCCACACCCAGCCAGCCTTCCCTCCCTCCTTCAACACCTAACTCGCCAACATTACTCCTCCCACAATACTGTTTGTTGTGGTGTTATTACACTATATACATGCATTATATACTGTATAAGTATTTATATGTTTTATTCACCATAACTATACTAATAAACTGGTATGGTGTCCAAACACCATAGTGGCCACTGCATGACAAGTCACACAGCAGACGACAGCCTCACTCCCTCACCTAAATGGCTCCTCCCAACATAAGGCTTTTGCTGTTATTATACTCTATACACACGTTATATATAAGTATCTACATTTGTATTCACCATAGCTAATCACTAAACTGGTATAGTGATTCCAGACAATAACATGTTGCCACACATCAACCACCTCTCCCTCCCTCCCACACCAACATTACTCCTCCCACCGCTAATTCACATCGCTAATTCTCACCACACTCCTGCTATTATCAGAATCCTGGTCACTAAATCATGTAAATGAATAATATCCACTTTTTTTTTTTTTTTTTTTTTTTTTGTAAAAGAACATGAGAAATCGTTTGAAGAATTTTAGATGGACAAAATAATGGCAGTGTGCTATGGCTAGTGCCTGAACATCTTGAACAGCATTTATTCACTGATATCTGAACATTGTACACAGTCTTTATCACTGTCAGACTCTTCTGTAATACTATCATGGCTAAATAATACCCGATACATATATATTTGGTAAATTTTAGGGGATGCTGTTGTCAAAAGCTGAACAGCAATGCTGTTAACTCATGCTGTGTGTGCCAGCCCTGGTTGCTCACTCAGTACTGAGGCCTTCACACCTGGGAATGTTGTCCACATTTTTTTTTTAAATGGCATCTGTTTATGAGAGCCCTGAGGAAGCTGATGTGAAACCTGTGTAACCGCGGGAGTTTTGAATGATACCTATAAGATCCCTGAGGTGCGTTGCGCACTACCCGTCGAGAGCCTCAAGACGCGTTGTGCAGTTCAGTGGTTAATGCATTTTTTAAGTACTGTAACAACAAAATAAGATTCTCAAAATTGAAGGTGAAGGAAAGACCCAATTTATGTTTTACATGTACTAAAAACCAAATTTTTGGATGAACCTACATTGGTTACATCTGAAAATACATAAAATGTTTTAGAACATTGTATTAAGTACTTTGAGAAAGGTTGCAGGTTACATACGAAAATTTTGTTTTAATACGCTTAAATATAAATTAGATCTCTCCTTCACTGTCATTCAGGCACTACAACATTGTAGTAAGTTTCTCCATTTTTTAAATTCTCATATTGCTTTGTCATTAGTTATACCAGACAATGCTGGCTTATTGCAACAAATATAAAATCATCATTCACATTAATTTGTATCGTACTCACCATGAACTAATGGTAAATATTATGCTTTTATGTTAAATGCAAATTGTGTTAATTTTCTAATGTGTGGGGTATTGTTGTTGTTGCTCTCTGGATGTAGAGTTTTCATGCCTTTGCTTTAGACCTTGGTACGAATGTATTCATAGGCCTGGGATCACAATCACATGCTGGCTGAAATGAACAAAGTACATTTTTATTTGGTTAGTTGTTTGTGAACTGGTAGTCTCCTGATAAGTTGGTGAGCATACAATTATAAAGGCACACATCCAAAATTCCTATTATATCATTCTGGACCCAGTCTGTATTTCCATGAAAATACACCCACTTTCTGTGGGGAGCCCTGTCAGCTCCCTGAAGCGCTCTTACTCATCAAGTGCCATACTACTTGGGTGTCATCAGTCGCAGAGTTCTTTGTATTCCTTACCGGGGACCATGAGCCAAAACCTGTCCCTCTCAGAGGCGCGCAGGGAACAATAACCCATGAACACTTTACATTGAAAGTGTTATGTTGCCATCTACCAGAAAGGCACCCAGAGGGTGAGCCAGCCCATGTGAGCTGGGCCACCCACCAGCCAGTTCTTTGATGTCGTGCCAAGTGGTTGCTGTCGCTTTGGCTCCGTGTTCCCATTTTCTTGAGTGGCTGCTTTGTGCCACTTCCTGCGGGCCACAGGTTTGGTGTTGGTGGCTGCTTCCTACAGGCCACTGGTTCTGTGTTGGTAGCTGCGCTCTTGGTTGATTAGGTTCCGCTGATTCCCTGTTCCTAAGCTAGTGTGTCTTAGGTTGTCATGTGTCCTTCAGTCTCACCAGCCTGCGGTCTACCCTTGGGCCCATGATGTTATGACTTGTGTCGCTCACTCAGCTGTGTTTGGGAATATGCCTTGAGATGATATTCGGGCACAGGAGTTTTGGAGGTTTCACAGGGTCATGGCTGTGAGGTATCTGGTGACTGGCCCAGGCCATCTGAGGCCTTGTGTTGCTTCGCGACTTTTGTCACGGCTGACAGTCTCTTACTCAGATTGAGACCTGCAGTGCTGCCACCTTCCTGGTGTGTTCCTGTGTTTTGCCTTCTCTGTGGATAGTTTCAGGAAGCTGACGGGGCTTCCCACAGAAAACCAGTGTTGAATGTAATGAAATGCCAGGTTCTGGGTGAGCACTGGAGGCTCCCCCTGACACCCTCCTTCTGGTTGGCGCCTTTCATCATTCAAAACTGGCTGGTGGGCAGCCTGGCTCACCCAGGCCGGCTCCTTCTTTCCTCCTGTGGGTGGGGGGTGGGGGGGAATGGGTGGAGCTAATGAGAGGGGGGGGGGGTTAGTTGGATGAAGTTTTGCTTTAATTTGTTTTCTTTGTGGGAAAGTTCTTTTGATAATTTGAGGGCGTAGGTCATATTTTCAACCAGGTACAGTAGTAGTCTATTTTGATTCGTCTACCTTTCTGTGTGCCTTCCCTGGTTGATGGCAAGATGACATATTTTAAATGTAAAGTGTTCATGGGCCATTGTTCCCTGCGCCTCTCTGAGGGAGCCAGGTTCTGACTCATGGTCTCCGGTAGGCAAAGAATTCCGAAACTGATGACACTGAAGTAGT